GGGGGGGGGGGGGGGGGGGGAATAGTAGAGAGATTAGGGAATTGAAAAGGAAAGAAAAAGAAGATCAATACAAAAAATAGAGAGATTTTTTATTTTTTATTTTTAGTTTCTTTACTTTTCACTTCATTTTTATTGAATGTTTTACTATTTAGTGAAAAGAACAAATCAGATGCATATAATATATTCATGTATTTAATATATAACTAAACTAAGAATCACATATTTATTTTATATTGTATGATATTTATTATAACTACGTGAAGCGCGGACAAGTTCTCTAGTTACTACTATAAGAACGAAACTGAAATGTTGAATTTTACAGTCTGCATTAGCATTATTACTACAGAATTGAAACTGAAATATGAAAACAATTTTTTTTTCTCAACAGGTTTGGTCCATCTTCTTTGTATTATACATGCATTACCATTACAGTTTTTCTTAACTGCTTGTTGAGACAGTTAAGGTTCTTATAACAGTCCAACCATTACGTCTAATTAATAGACAAATAAAAAGCTTTAAACAAATTTTAGTTTATGGCCATCTGAACGGCCACATTATTCTTTGTATTTTACTTTCTTTTTACTTGTTCCTTTGTTGTTATCTTTATTAGATGTATATTTACATTATGCATAAAATATTCTTGAATTAATATTTGCTTGAAGGATAAAACTTTCGTTTAACTTTTGAAGGATATTTTGGTCTTTCAACTTACACTGTAGGGCTTCACGCTTATAATATAGTATGATATACATGCTATTTTGAAGGTATTTTGCATATTAAAAAAAATACAGGGAAAAATTGGGTATCAACATGTCCCAGTATGGATAGTCATTCCTGAATTTTCCTTGGCATTTCTACTATATGGAGGTCTTATCAGTCTTGTTGGCACCCATTGGTAAGATACTACATCTGGACTTTGCTTCAATGCAAAAAACCAGGGGAAGTGTAGCAAATGTAAAGATGCAGGTAGACCTAACTAAGGACAGGCCTCATCATGTGTGGCTTGGCTTTGATGATGATCAAGATGTTAACGGGGATGGGCAGTGGCTGGAGGTGATGTATGAAGATCTTCCAAATTACTGTCTGCATTGTAGGCATTTTGGACATGAGGAATACCACTACTCTATCAGGAAAAGAGAAGAGGAGGACAAAAAGAAAGCAGTAGCTGAAACATTTGGAAACAATGAGAATCAGAACAATAAAAGGAAAGTGCACGAAGGGAGATCTCAACATAACCAGGAACAAGTCATACAGGGGCAAAACAAGAATCAGAATCAAAAGATGGTAATGCAAGACCAAGAGAAGATCAGCAAAGAAATGAAAACCAAAAAGCAGCAACTCAACAAATTACAAGGGATAACCATTCCAAACATCAATGGCACTCTCAAAAGAAGAAGAATTTTAGGGGAGTCAACCAAAGAAACAGGCAGCATAAATTCAAATAGATTACTAAGAAAGTAGTTGATGCACAAAAAGCCAACCCTAACCAGAATTCAGGTATTGGTCCTAGCTCACAAGCTGATCCTCCAATTGCTCTAGATAATGTGAAGGATCCCATTCCCAACCCCACTATGATTGATATAGAAACTAATGGTGGGAAGGAGAATGGTTAGGAGATACCTACAACTGATCAGGTTGAGGATCCAAAGGGGGTGGGTGATGATGCACAAGGCCATGCTATCAATCAGCAATCTACTCAGAAGATTCCTACTGATGGCATTGCAACAAGCGGGGTAATCGGTACTGATGATGACCACAGAATCACAGTTGACAGAGGCAAAGGTCCCATGGAAAATCAATTGTCCCCGACAAAATCAAAAAACAATCCAAGTCAGAAAAAATGAAGGCAAATGAAAAGACAACAGGAAGCTACTTTAGCTAAAACAAAGATCAACTCTATAGACAGTCTTATGGAGTCAGACGCTCAACCCCATGTTGCACCCTCACCTTTGACTACAGGAGTAGAATCATATATAGCACCCTCACCTCATTAGAAGGAAGCAGGTACTATGATTTCTACTAGTCTTTCATGTGTGTCTAAGGCAGTAGGAACTGGGGCTGATCCTGCTACTCAAATCCAGACAGATGAAGTAGGAATTATGTCTCATGTAGCACCCTTATCTCTTGCAAAGGAAGTAGGAACTGTGCCATATGTAGCACCCTCACCTCTAATAGAGGAAGTAGGTACTATGGCATTAGTTGCACCCTCACCTTTGCATGAGGCAGTAGATGAGTATATGCACATACAGTCTGAGGATGAAGTTAATATTAGTGATGAAGAAGATGATGAACATAGTGAAGACCTAAAGGAAGATGACACTTGCAGTCATCTTCTTACTGCTTTTAATGGTCACCCTGATTCTGTTACAGTCATTGATGTACAAGGACTCTCTCCCAGAAATAAGCCACCACACTACCTCACATGAAGCAAAGCAACCATCTCTACCCTTCCATCAAAGCACAACCTCCCCAAAAATATTTAATGATTAGTACAATCACATGGAATGTAAGAGGTATAAGAACCTTTGGAGACATTGAAAGACTCAAAACTCTCAAACATCTTCACAAACTATCCTCATTTCAGTCCTGAAACCTTTGCTTGACAACACTCATATCAATTACTACAGAATCCAATTGTCCATTCATCAAGCAGCATCAAATATCAACAACAAAATCTGGATCTTTTGGGATCAAGACTATACATGCTCAGTCATTGGCCAAGATAAGCAGCAAATGACTGTTGAGCTAAAGCATGTAGAAACAGCTGAAGTTTTCCAGTTAACTGTTATCTATGCCAAGTGCAAAGCAAATCTCAGAAGACCACTATGGGAGGTACTGAGGCAGAAATCTTTGACATGTACCATCCCATGGTGCGTGATTGGAGATTTCAATGTTATTGCATCCATTGAAGAAAAGATAAGGGGTCTACCATACCAACTGAGTAAGAGCTTGGACTTCCTCAGTATGATAGAAGATTGGACTTGTAGATCTGGGGTTTTATGGCCCTAGATATACTTGGTCCAATGGCAGAGGTCCAGGATCAATAATTTGGAAGAGATTGGACAGAGGCATGGTAAATGACAACTGGCTAATCTCATTCCCAAATACCACCATTTCACACTTAGCCTCCACTGGATCTGACCACAATCTCTTGATAATGGAGATGAATGTCAGGCAGGATACAAGCAAAAAATACTTCAAGTTTCTCAACTGTTGGGTAGAAAATGAAGGCTTCATCCCTATGGTTCAAGAAATTTGGAATCAGGAAGTCAGAGGCAATGCTATGTGGATCTTCCATCAAAAACTTAAAACAGTCTTTAATGCCTTAAGTAAATGGTCGAGGCATGAATATGGGGATATCTTTCAGAAGGCCAAGGAATATGCAAAAAAAGTGAAGCAGGTAGATATGACTTGGGCTCAAACAAATGATGCAGATGACAGAATGAACTTTCATGAGGTAACAACTCAGTACAAAAAATACAGGAAGCTGGAAGAGTCTATTCTGAAGCAAAAAACACAGCTTCAGTGGTTCAAAGATGGTGATGCAAATTCAAGATACTTCCATAGTTTAATGAGAGGAAGAAGAAGAAAGCTGATTATTCATAAAATCAAAGACATTGAAGGTGAGTGGGTGCAAGGTGATGAAGCTATAGGGGAAGCTGCTTGTGGCCACCTAAGCTTTGCATATGACATCATAATCTTCACATCTGGAGGTAGAGCATCATTGCAGAAGATTATGGAGATTCTCAACAATTATGAACACACATCTGGGCAGCAAATCAACAGGCAAAAAAGCCACTTCATGGTTTCTCCTCTGCATTCCCAGCTACCATCAGAAGAGTTCAGCAGATCACAGGCTTCACCAAGAAAGAATCTCCCATTACCTACCTGGGGTGTCCATTATACATAGGAAGAATGAGAATAGTATATTTCAATTCCCTGATAGCCTAGGTGGTAAGTAGAATTAAAGGGTGGCAAAGAAGAATCCTCTCTTATGGAGGCAGAGCCACTATAATTAAGCATGTGCTCCAATCTATACCTACACATCTGTTGTTAGACTTAACCCCCCCCCCCCCAAACTATACCGAGGCAGGTTGAGAAGTTAGCAGCTAACTTCTTTTGGGGAATGGACAAAGATGAAAACAAATACCACTGGGCTTCTTGGCAAAAATTGGCATTTCCAATTGAAGAAGGAGGTGTTGGCCTCAAATCAATGGAGGATATCTGCCAAACCATGGAATTCAAAAATGGTGGCTTTTCAAAACTAAAGAGTCACTATGGAGCAAGTTTCTCAAAGCTGAATATTTCTAGAGATCAAATCCCATTTCCAAAAAGTGGAACTCTGGGCAATCACATACATGGAAGAAAATGATGATTAATAATAAAGAAGCCGAAAAACACATCACTTGGAGACTACATTCTGGTAACTGCAGCTTTTGGTGGGACAACTGGTTGGGAGATGGTGCTCTTGCTCAACACAGAAGTGAAGGAGGAAGGCCAGACAATGTAACTGTGGCCAATTTTTGGGACCAGAGCCAGTGGAATTTGCAGAAGCTGAATGAAGCAGTCCCAACACCTTTAATACATGCCATGCTCCAAATCCAAATCTATCACAACCCTCAAATACAAGACCAACCTATCTGGATCCCAAATGTGAAAGGAAACTTCACATGCTCTAATTCATGGGACTTGATTAGGAAGAAGAGGCAGAGATGTTTCTCTAATAAAATTGTCACACCTCCTTTTTCCTACACTTGAAGGGAGTATAAGGGAGTTTTTTCCAATTTAAGTGACAATCGAAACGGGATTATTTATTTTTTGTTCAGAGTCGCCACTTGGGATAGTTTATGGCGTCCCAAGTCACCGGTTTGGAATTCCGAATCGAGGAAAGATTTGACTCTGTTTATGCCTGAGAACACAGAAATCCAGGTAAGGAATTCTGTTAACCCGGGAGAAGGTGTTAGGCACTCCCAAGTTTCGTGGTTTTAGCACGGTCGCTCAACTGTTATTATTGGCCTATTTATTTGATTTTAAAACATCTTTGAAACCTATGTGCACTTTATTCTTTTAACCGCTTTTAATAATCCAATTGTTTTACAACTAATTATTGATTGTACGTTTGTGAATCATGTTACGGGCATCGTACCCACGATCCATAACGTGTTTATTATATTAAAAATATTAAATTGTGGCCAGGTCACATAAATGTACCCCCAGATTTTAGAAATTAGGCGTCACATCTACGTCACGGGAACGGTACCCGTAGCCATGACAATTATTCAATTAACGTGTCTAAAGCAATCTACGAAGGTTCAAATTAATAACAAAGTTTGCGGGGGCCATGGAAAAGTTAATTGACGGCACACCCCGATTTTAAAAGAGTTATTATTAATTAAATGAGGGCCATGGGCTTAGGGTTTTTATTTGGCATGGCACGCCTCAAATTATTCTTAAAGTAAATTCTTGATCTAGTCTTTGAGGGCCATAAATTGTATGTTTGGCTAATACGGCGCACCTCAATCTAATTAAAGGAGTCTAATTAATTAAAGAAGACTAAGGGAATTTGGATTTATTTTGGACTAATGTTCAAATTATCCTAATAATTAGTGGACTGGAGTTGAACGAAATCAGATCTATAGTTATTAGAAAGGCCTGGGCTTGGCAGTAGGCCCAATGGTCTATTAAAAGATCCCATATTGTAATACGAAGGAAGACTGGGCTCTCACGAAGCCCAGAATGCATGCATAATCGGCGAAAGGGGAATTTGGCATAACTGGGCCAACGACAAAGGCCCAGTTGTGATTCATTACAATTAATTGAGCCAAATTACAATTCTTCATGAAAATCTTGAGATTGAAACAAATACTAACAAATCTTGCAAATTTAAATAGATGCAAAGTATATTTTTGATGCCAAATCACATTCTATAATGAAAATACAACCCCTAATGTTATAATATCTCATACACAAATTGTTTCATCATTTAACATAACAGAATTCAAATTTCAACCAAAACACTAACATGATTTCAGAAAGAGTTCATCTACTAACATGGATTTAAACCTGTCCAATTCCAGATCTTAAAAAAATGAATGCTTACTGATTTCATACCAAACATGTCAAATATTCAGCGGTCCGAACTCAGATGACAGCCTCACAACCATAGTTTAACACAGTCCAGAATAGAACACTATACAGGTTTAAGTTTGAACATTCAAAGTCTGAATCCTACTAGGGAATAGGGCGTTGAGGCTATTATTTAATTACAACTAGAAATATTGACTCTCAAACTAATTAATACAAATAACGTTAAACTAAAGAAGACAAAATCTGGAAGGAAATCTCATTTTTATTTAACATATTGAAGCTCCAACTTCATATGGAACTTTCAAAGTTTGAAACATACCTGAAACAAACAAAAATAACCAGTAATTCAGCAAGGAGCTAGCAATCAAACAGCAGATCTCAACACAACAATCAACAACAGCTCACAGTCAGCTTCTCATGTTTTTGAACCCAGAAATAAGGAGCAATTTTAAGAACCAACGAAAAATGAGAATGCCAACTTGAATAGAATAGTAATGGTGATTTTTTTGTATTTTTCTTTCTGATTTTTCAGACTCTCTCAAGGTTGGTATTTCTTCAGCCGTTTCTAAGTTTTAGTATGTAATTCTCTAAAATCTCTCCAATCTAAATGAGAGGAAGTAACCTTATATAGCAAATCCTAGGGCAACAGAAATAATTTCAAGTTTTACACATTACCCCCTCCCTGATTCTTCATTCTTTCATTTTAAGCCCTGATCTTCTAAACCAATTATTGAAAATACCCAACTCCCTCTTTCCTGAAAGTTCCCCATTCAGTTTTTACAAGATTATCTCAATCAAAATCTCCCAAATACCCTTTAATCCCCTGTTATTTACCACCAGACTAAACATGGGTCAAGTTGACCCAACAATCAACCACAGACCCTGGGCTTGCAAAACCCCGGACTGACTCTCCCCTCTTTGGGCTTTTAACCTACGAAGCCCAACGTTGAATTCCAAAGCCAATCAGAAAACCAATCAAAAAAAATTGGGCCAACAGAGTTATAGGGAACTCCTGAAGCCATGAATCCAAAGAAAACAAAATAGGAGGAAATTGGAGCACAATCGAACAGCAAAATCAAACAAGCTAACTAAACAAAATGCTGACTAAAAATAACTTAAAATTAGCATGCATACAGAAATGATTTGAAAAATAGAAAAAACAAGAAATAAGAAGAAAGAATCAGAAGAAGATGAGAATGAGAATAAAACGAAAGAGGAAAGAAAGAAAAATGGCCGAAAAATACCTAGAAAAAGCGGATGAACAGTGGACTTGGACAGATCTCCAACGCCTTCGATTTTGAGCCAAAATTGGCATTAATTGTGTGTCCTCGTTGAGAACAGACGAGTAACACCAATTTTAACCCCAATCGTTCAGGGAAAATTCGGAGTTTTGGAAGATTTTCTTTTTCTTCTACTTTTCTTTTAGATCTGAAATTGGTTAGATTTGGTGAGATTTTGGGGAGATATGATGGTATATTGGGAGTCAGGTGTGGGTGGTGGTTGTGCGGTCGAAGTTTGAGGTTGGTTGGACTCCGCCGCCGGCCGATAGAGGCTCAAGAGTTTGGAGGCGCGGGCTAGGGTTCTTCAAGTTGAGAGAGATGAATTGAAGTGGGGATAGTACTAGGTTAATCTGACTGGTTGTTTGGACAATTATAATTAAAATGGGGGAAGTATCCTCAGCCGTTGGATGAACTTAAACGGAGGGCTAAGATCTATTCTAAGTGACTGAACTCAAAACGGCGTAGTTTTGGTCCCATACTACAACGTTTGAGTTGCCTAATTGACTGAATGGTTGGACTGGGTTTGGGTGGAGTTTGGGCCGGACTGAAACGGGTTTTGGGGGAATTTCATTTGGGCCTGGCTGAATTGGCTTAAAAAGCCCTTTTAAATCTCTTTTCCCTTTCTTTCTTTTTAATTTCCAATTTTCTTTTCCTTTTAAAATTAATTTAAAAAAAACCTAAATTAACTCTTAAACTAAATTAGCTTACCAAATAAGCTAATTACTCGTCATAGTATTTACAAAAATTAATTAACTCCTAAATTAAAAGAAAAACTATAAAATTCAAAATTAAAAAGTTAAAATGCAAAGTGATTTATTTTTTGATGTTTTCATTTTTATAAAATAACTAGTTTACTAATTAACCTAAAAATGTAAAAAATAAATCCTAAATGCAAATGCAGAGTAATTTTTTTGTATTTTCGTGATTAAATAAAAATTGAACATGCACACAAAAATGCAAATAATTAAGAAAATTCTATAAAAATTCCTAAAATGGCAAATAATTAAAAGAAAAATCTATTTCCTTGGGATTTTGTAGGAGTAATTCATATAGGGCATAAATCACGTGCTCACAGCTGCCCTTCTTTGCTCGGAAACAGGAACAGTTTTCGTGCAAAGATAAAGTGAGCGGACGCGAGCGATTTTTGCCCGTTTGAATACTCCGTGGGAAGCGTTTTTTGAAATATTTGACCGCACCCTGCTTCGGAGGTTGCCTACATATCCTTGGCTATAAAGGAATTAGGTCAGTGTAGTTCGGGATGTTTTGGTAGCTGGGACTACCAGGAAGCTGTGATTTCACTGTTGCTGCTGCTGCTGCTTGCTGAACCCTTGACTACACCAAGACAAAATAAAAGAAGCTAGACTAAACTATGATCTATGAATTACAAGAACCCTATCTATATTTTCGAACTTGGTCTTGTAGTTTCTATTGCTCTGTTGACTTGTACTCTCCAGGTGAGGTTCCTTTGTTGCTGACTTGAATTATATTCTGAGGTGTTTTCCCTTTGTTCTCCAGGTGGGCTCCTTATTGCTGAACTTGAATC